TTTTCAATATTTTTTTGGCTATTCAGGTCCCTTGGGATTGCATATAAATTTTTGGATGGGTTTTCTCTGTTTCATGGCCTGTTTCTCCTCCAAGGCAAAATCTCTGAGGCAGGTTCTGGAATTGTGGGTGGAAACAATGGCATATTACCCCCTTCCCTGAAGTTTCAGGCACCCACTGGTAACTGAGAGCTCACTGAGGAGGAGCAGCAGTCTGAGGTTCTTTGGATTACTTCTCCACACAATGAACCACTGCCTCATGAACTAGGCAAGGATGGTCAGGGCCCCCATCTTCTCTGTTTGCTGCATCCAAGGCAGGGCCCCTATTTCACAAGTAGGTCTTGAGTGGTAAAAGGGAGCCTCCAACTCTCAAATGAACTTGCCAAGGACTTAGCCTCAAAAACAGGTAGATGGGGGTTGGATGTGGAATGCTGTATTGTCTCCGGTTTTGGAGGGCAGTAGTAAAGATGACTAAACTCTATTTGTGTAAATATTTTATGCTAGTAAATACCTGAAATATTAGCTTACATTTGAAAGATGATAACTTTCTTTTTTTTTTTTAAGATGGAGTCTCACTCTTGTTGCTCAGGCTGAAGTGCAATGGCACAATCTCAGTTCACTGCAACCTCCACCTCTGGATTCAAGCAATTCTCCTGCCTCAGCCTCCCAAGTAGCTGGGATTACATGTGCCTGCCACCACGCCCAGCTAATTTCTGTATTTTTAGTAGAGACAGGGTTTCACCATGTTGGCAAGGCTGGTCTCAAACTCCTGACCTCAGGTGATCTGCCCACCTTGGCCTCCCAAAATGTGAGAAAAATGATGTCTACTAAAAATCTTTTTTCTCTGTGTTTCCCATAGCAGGATACTTTGCTTTAGGCTCTGCTCAGTAGACAGTTTCCAATTGTGTGCACAGCCTGAGACTGATGCTGACAGAAACCGATTAGTGCATACCGTCAAGTCTTAAAATGAGATGCAGGGTAGATCCCTGTCTAATTAAATGTATTACAATATCTTCATCTCTGTCTTTTTTTTTTTTTTTTTTTGAGATGGAGTCTTGCTCTGTTGCCCAGGCTGGAGTGCAGTGGTGTGATCTCAGCTCACTGCAAGCTCCACCTCCCGGGTTCACACCATTCTCCTGCCTCAGCCTCCCGAGTAGCTGGGACTATAGCGCCCACCACCACGCCTGGCTAATTTTTTGTATTTTTAGTAGAGACGGGGTTTCACTGTGTTAGCCGGAATGGTCTCGATCTTCTGACCTCGTGATCCACCTGCCTTGGCCTCCCAAAGTGCTGGGATTACAGGCGTGAGCCACTACGCCCGGCCTGTCATTTTTATAACAGGAGTGAGAGTAATAGAGTAAAAATCTATTGGTGCTAGAGAATTCAATTCATGTCATTCTTGTTCTCTAGGCGCTGTTACCCTTTGCTGTGGTGGGGAGTATGGATGAAGTGAAAGTTGGAAAAAGGATGGTCAGAGGCCGTCACTACCCTTGGGGAGTTTTGCAAGGTAAATATAAAAGAGGGCAGGCTTTGGAATGATTAAGTTAAATATATGTGTATCACTCGTAGTCTCAAAATAACATTTTAACTTGAGTTAATGTTGGTAACTCTTGTAATCTGTAAGTTAGCGGTTACTAATGAGGAACACAAACTCTGTTTTATTTAAACTAATGCTTACTTTGACCGTGATTCATTCTCATAGAAGTTTGCTGAACGCTGCTTTAAGCCAAAATCTACAGAGTCTGGGAAGAACCTCTTTGTTTATCCCAGTGCTCCCAATGC